CCCGAGGGCCGTCGGGCCGACCCGAGGGCTTAGGGCTTCAGTGCAGGGCTCTAAGAGAGACAGACAGACAGAGAGAGTGTTATCTAGTGCCAAAAGCAATATATGTACAGACCTGCCAACCTGGTCAAAATTTGTTGAGTACCACTCACACACACACACACCCACACACACACACACTTTTTACCTTACCAGAACAGCAGCGAGTGGCAAACCGGAGGGAGAGAGGAGCAGCGGGCAGGACGAAGCAGGGAGGAGGGGCGGGGGGTGTTACGCTATAGGTTAGGCAGGATAGTTTTTCTCTGCTTTTCTACGATGATTGGTTTAAACTTCTTCACCACGCCGCCGAGTCGTGTTGTCAGACATGAGTACCACACGTGCATATTTGCCACAGAACTCAACTCACGTATCCGCAGCTTTTTGCGTAGTTTAGAGGGGTGAGCCGTACCAGTGTAAATAGATGCCAAATTGAGTACAGGCTACACAAAATGCGTACAGGTTGGCAGGTCTGGATATGTATATATATATATATATATATATATATATATATATATATATATATATATATATATATATATATATATATATATATATATATATATATATATATATATATTAATAAATAAATAAAATATGGGTGTAAAACTGCACAATGTAATATTTTAACACTTTTATTTGGACAGAGGCACTGATGCAGACTCCAAAGGCAGCCACACCCAAAAACATCTGCCAGAAGTGGTGAACACTAGCGTTATTTTAAAGCACGTATGAGTGTTTGGTGCTCAGATGTAAAAGGAGGGTACACAGGGAAGGGGGAGGGGCCAGGGCAGCATATGTAGGAATCAAAAGGGGGGGTGGGGGGTGCTTTTTTAAAAGCAAGGAGGAAGGGGATCATGGAGGTATACTTACACCAACTTATTGCCAGATTGTTGGGCTGGAGAAGATCCTGCGATCCCCCTGCAATAGTGTTAGAACTCCCTGCTGGGAATAACCAGTCACATTGTTATAGCAGGAGCTGCTCTTTACCAGCTCCACAGGTGGTCTGATGACCCAAAACTACTCACTACAGCCTCTAAAGGAGGCGCACATGAAGACTATGAAGCGAAAGCTAGCTAAGTTGGAAGCACCTACCAGAAAGATTGAAGAAACAGTCACTTAAATGCAAAAATTATCATTTTTGTTTTATAATTAGCCAATGCATGATGCATGAGGTGCTTACTGATCACTACGATAAAAACATTTAATAAAACTGACAAACTAACCAGAGCCAAATAAATCCTGGGACATGTTGTAGGGATGCAATGCTGCCCCTTGCATGAGTGCATGTGTGTGTTTGGGTCAATATTCAGTTTTTTAACCCCAATTAAGACTAATTTACACCCCCTGCTGTATGATCATGGACTGGTGAACTTACGACAGTTTCCCTTTTAAGTAAAACATAAAATGTGGAAAAAAAACATGGTGCGAGTGTCCACTGCCGAGTCGCACTAGGAAAGTGCTGATAAGAGTTGAGATTAAATAAGGACGAATAATTAAGATAAAATGGTTGCGGATGCAATCGAAAGTAAAAATTTAAGAAAATTACAATATATCATGATACCTGGTTCACTTTCAGTGAGCAAAAAATTATATTTCGAGTATTTCTGCAGATTAAAAACAAATTAATGGTTCTCCTGGGACACCAAAATGGGAGTTATTTTGATTTAAAAAATGCTTTTTTATGTTTACTCCTCAACTATGTCTAAAATATGCATTTTTGTATAAATCTGAACATTCATTCTAGTAATGCAACTGAACTTAGAAAAGCCAAAATCCACAAAAGCTAACATTATAATAACAGGTAATATTGATTAAAACATGCCAAAGTTAGTAGAGTTAGTCAGAAATCTAAGAATAATTCAAACATTTGGATTAATTTCAGTTTCTAGTTGGATGGAAAAGAACAAAATATTATAAAGATGCAAACTAAAAGTTTAATAAAAGCAAAAACAGAATAAAAGAGGTAAATTATGTCAAAATAAGAAAAATGAGGTGAATTAAAAGGGAACACGTGGAAGATTCACTCACTAAGGTCATCATCATCATCATCATCATCATCATCATCAGCGGCATCATCCTCCATACCTTTCCCTCCACAGCATAGAACGTAAGGGGTGCGGCGTTCCACCACAGCCCGACACTGTACGCACTTCTTCATGAGGATGGCACAATCTGGAGGAAAAATAAGATTTTTAAGTTGGAACCAAAAGCTGGAAGTGGCGGAAAACACCACGAGGACACAACGTCGGGTGCGACTTACTCTCACAAGCGCACATGTGGCCACAGGGCTGAAACAACACGGCTGCTTTTTTATCAGAGCAGACGACACACTCCTCAATCTGGAGCGAGAGAGAGAGGAGAGAGAGAGAGAGAGAGAGGTGTTACAATGCAATCGGACCACCCTGTCTGCTCCTATGGCAGGTTGTGACTGCGCTGCTGGTACCTTAGTTCTGGACTGGACCTGCTCCTTACAGATGAGGCACTTCTTGACACGCGGCGAGCACAGCGAGCAGGTGGCGATGTGTCCGCACGGCCCGAACAGCGTGTCCCTCTTCATGTCGGAGCACACCATGCACTCCTCCAGAGACTCGATGTTGCTGTTCAGGGATGGACTGCGGGTTCCCACCTGGCCACTGCAGCAAGAACAGATACAGGTCATTTAAACGCAATTAAGAAATTATATTAATGATAAAAGTAAGTCTTTTGATCTTTACTGAAGTCAAATTCAAACAGAAGTAAGAAACCTTTTTTTTTAAAAAAAGCTCTAAATCTGAAATTATATTTTCTTTAAGGTACCAAAAATAATGTTGCTGACAATATCTACCACAGGATGAGAAAAAAAAAGCGAAATAAGTAAACGCTCTGTGCTAAAATCTAATTGTTTTTGACAAATATTAAATATTTATTTCAAATTATCAGATCTAAAATCTCAGAGGTTGAAAATTGCATTTAATCAACTTTGAGTGTTTTTAAAGGGACTTTTCGGACTTTTGAATTTTTATGCTCGCGATTGCCCCCTCAGGCCAAAAGCGTAATGGCAGCAAGAAAGGAGGTGAAGTGTCTTGCCCAAGGACACAACAGCAGCATTCTCTGGCGGGAGCCGGGATCAAACCTACAAGCTTCCGGTTACTGGACAACCCGCTCTACCTTCTGAGCTACTGCTGCTGACCAGACCGGCACTCTGAAGTTGCAAGTGCGGTTGATGGCCACAGAGGACAGTGGGGTTCTGTGTAACTTGTCATTAACTCTGTAAATGGTTATTTTAGCACATACTGGCTCAAGAAAATAATCTGAAAATATGAAAAAGTTGCATTGCTTTTAAATGCACGTCCTGTTTTTTCCCCATATTAAGCTCAGTCCACCATCTCCTGGGTCTGGCTTCACATTAACTGTCTGAGCGAGTGATACTGATCTCCTCGTCAAGTTCTCAGCAAAGAAAGCCAGTGAGTGTGTTTCCTGAAATGTCACACAAATCCTGGGATGTTTACCTGCTCTTCTCTTTGTGACATTTAGCCAAAGCCTTACAGAGGCTAGGGTCAGGACACAGGTCCAGAGGGGACTGGCCCTTTTTGTTGCGAATGGTCAAGTCGGCTCCATTTGCTGCCAGGAAGCAGGCGATGGATGCTGCACTCTTCTTCTCCGCCCCCTGGGTGCCCAGACCCATGATTAACTGCAGAGAAGCAGACAGACACACAAAACCAGACCAGGTCAGAGACACAGAAACATTTCTGACATTTTTAAATCACTTTTCAGGCCATTTAGAATGGTTTCATGTCTCAACATTACACACTAGAACTATAGTTAAAAGTAGGAAAAGTAAAAAGTCAGTTCTGTACAAATTAGCCAATCATAGGTACATCTTAAGATGCCTGTCAGGCACTATAACCCTCTCACCCCATCTGGCCTCCCTCACTCACATAACTCACCACCTCACTCACTCAACCACAACTCAAAGCTACTTTTTCTCGGGCGATTTAGGCCTTCCATGTCTGATTCTCTTCAACCAGTAAGTTTTACATCTCTGCTGATGGAGCCACCAGACCTGCTAATTCAATTCTCATCCTGAGAGAAGGGGAGGGCTGCAGGACTGTGACCCTGCTGTACATTTCTTAAATTAGACCTGCTGTCTGTCTGTTCCACTGCTCTGAGGGGAAACCAGAGGGGAAGGGCTGAGGAGGGGAGAAAGGGAGTGGGTGGGAGGCACAAGGTGACAAGTACAAAAAATATGTCACTGATGGAGAGTTTAAAATCCTCCCAGTAGAGATTAATGATGTGGTGTTAACACGATGAGGGCTCAGGTCTGGCATCCCCCTTCTGGACTTAACTGAGGGACCTGTTCAGGCTGGCGAAGGCGCGTCGGTGCGTCAGCTCACCGTTATGAGCTTCAACCTGAATGATGGGCTGGTGCAGACTCAAGTGTCCAGTGATGCAGATGACGGAGACGGTGAGCTTCCTGACTAAATGGGATCTGTCATCATCTCTCACAGTGGGCCACAAACTCATATTAATAAAGGTTTAAGTCCTGAGGAACACTTTGATGGATGATAAACGCCAAAGAAACCACGACACAATGCTCCGGAGAATCCCTTAGCGGCAAAAGCAGATGATAGAGTACGCATCGTTTTAAAGAAGCGTCAATGGATGCTAGTCTAGAGATCTTTGAACCAGAAGGTCATTTATAACTAAACATGTGAGAAACATGAAATGATGTAAAGTATCAGGTCTAAATAAAGGTGAAATATTTCCAAGCAATATTCATCTGTTTAAAAAATGAGGATGGGCGATATATTTGAAGAAGAAGAAAAAAAAAATCATTTCCATAGCGCCTCTCAAGATAAAAATCACGAGGCGCTTAAGACCTTCAGATGTTTTGTGGGTCCGACACACACTGCACAAAGCAATCCAATCACAGTCGTTCTGACTCGGTTTGCTAAAGCGGACCACAGGGGGTCCCCATGAGATTTAGCTGTTTTCCAAATTGCATCGGCTATTTGAGCCATCGATCAACAACATACTGCGCCTCAAATGGTTTAAGCTACACAGGTGAGAGTAGGGGGCAGTACTTGTTGAGAAAGAAGTGCATCCAAAGGAGATTTGGAATGTTTTCGGCAGTAAAATATGTTGGATTGTGGACTTAAGTTATGTAAGGGACTATTTTATTGGACCCTTTTGGATTTAAAAAGGCAGATTTTTTTTAGATGTTTTATTTCATCAATAATATGAGTCCAACTGCCAGACTAATTCATGAGCATAAAAACATTATTCAAAAAAATAAAATGAATATGGGCAAAGGGCTTGGACTATCGCCGATGATCAACTAATTCGTGCAATCACCCAACCTTAGTATCAATCAACACAAACCAATTTCAAACACAAATCTGTGTTGTCTCATGACTTGAAATTCCCTGATCTTGAAGAGAAGCTCGAGTTAATAACAGATACCGTGTTTTTGGACGGTTCCCAAGGCTCCACTTTGCTGACATCCTGCATGTCCTGGAGTTGCCGCAACTGAGACAGCGTGTGGTGGCGCAGAGCCTCGTGAAGCGGCGTGTCCCCGTCCTTGTCTTGCACGTCCAGCTTGGCCTCTGCCCGCACCAGGAGCTGTTAAAATAAAAAAGTAATCAAGCAGGAACAGAAACAAATAATTACCTCAGATTTACTATTTTAAAACTACAAAGGTAACTTGTTTAGCTGCTGCTCAAACTAAACTAACAGTGTTGTGCAACGCCCAAGCATGAAGTGCACTTTTGTTTAGAGACCACAAGATGGCAACGTGGCAATCTCAATCCAAGTCTACACCAACAGACAGTGATCAACACACTGCCTCAAAGACTATCCCCCTACCCTCCCCTCCACAGGCAGGACCTCATTCAACTGCAGGATATCCAACCGTGTAAATTAAATGTGTTCTGCTGCCTTTTGTGTAAAGGAGAGGGACTGGCAGATAACCAAAGGCAGTGTGTTCACTTAGCGGTGCAAGAGGAAGGAAACCAGGAAAACAAATGAGAAACAGAGAACAGGAATTGAGGTGTGAACACACACCCGAACTATCTGGGTGTGCTGGCGCTCCACTGCAAGGTGCAACGCTGTCTGCTGGTTGACATTCTGGATGTCCAAGCTGGCGTTGCCCTGGGTAGAAGTAAAGGAAAGAGCACAAAAGATGCAAATATGGACAAGAAACATTATGGTTGTACATGGTATACATTAAGTTTGCGCAGAAATGACAAAATTTCAATTAAAAATACTTTTTTTTCTTCATCCAAAGAAATCTGTGCTTAGAAAGTAAAACACAAACAACCTTTCAGACTTTATGTGCCGTGACAGCACCTTCTGTCCTTCTGACTAGCAAAATATCACCGAGGGGGAAAAAGGGGCAGTCTACAAAAAATGCTATGTGTGATTGTCATTTCCAATTGCAAACATATCAGCTGTGGAGATGAGAAGGTAAGATAAGTATTGTGATCAGGCAGTGTGTAAAATCCCAAAGTAATAAGACTGTCTGACTGGCTGGGAATCTGCAGTGCACCTAGAAGTGTGGTGCAGTTTCTGAATAGAAAGCTGAGCCATCACTGCGAACAAGCCCATTGCAGGAGCTTAAAGGGGGGGAGGAGAAGAAAAAAAAAGGCTGTCCCTGCTGAAAGGGTAGCTTGCACAGCGAACGTTCACGTGTAGGAATGTTGCAGCAACATTACTGCCTTGCACCACATCCTCATTAACCCAGTTTTTGGTGTGATCAGGTGACTTTTCTGTAAACTCGTGTAAGCGTTTTAGCCTTTAGGGAGTTAAACCTGCAATCTCAGAAGGGAAAAAAAATAACTGTATGAGCCCATAACTGCAAGAGAAGGAAGATGTGAGGGCCGAGCAGCGCTAAAGTACCCCCCCGGAGGCCATGCGAACCTTATGGATTCAATAAAAAAAGATGGCAGTTAAAGGGGTTTCAACTGGTCTACAGCTTGCAGGCTACAGGGAGTGCTGCGGAGGCTGCTTTTGTTGGTCAAAGGTAAAGCTCGGGTAATGCAGGCTGAAATGATGCTGCAGTGCTGTTATAGACTAACTGGGAATGTCCCAACATATGGTGCTTTAGACAAGGTGACACATGTCGAGAACACATTTGATCATAATGATTTAATTTGATGTTGCGTTTTCTTTTAATCTATTTAAATAACCCGGGCTTTCCACCGAATGCGTAAGCAGTGCTTAATGTAATAGATGCGTTTTCACTGCAACCGCAGCAGTGCATCCCTTCTCACCTGGTGCGTAAAGACACGCAGCAGCAGTAAATGTGTTTCACGCGGCTGGTGCTGTAAGATCACAAAATCACCAGAGAATAGAAAGATCACACATGATTTCACCAGTTTATACGTTACTAAGCAAAGAGAAAGACGATAACTGTGTGCTTTATTTTCAGTCCTTTTTTACCTCAACCAAGGAAGCATCACAAGTAATGAAGTATTTTGTTTACAGAATAAACAACTAGAAATTTGCACACATGTCATTAGGGATGGGTACCTTTGACATTTGAATCGATCCGGTACTAATTACCGGTACCTACGAATCGATACCGGTACTTAACGGTACCAATTTTCGATACTTTTGCGTGTTTATTATTTTAATTCTCTTTTATAATTAAATATAAATTTTCTCAATATATAACAATATTTGATATACATCACGATAAATAACATTCAACTGTTTGTATTTTAACATCGTCCTTGTAGTTTTATAAGCTGATGATTAAACTGAAGCAAACATCTTTACTGTGAACTAAATTTACTGTGTATCTTCATTCCTTTTGCCATCTTTTTTCATTTGATTTTTCCTACTCGAAAGTTAGAATTTCCGAGGAGAAAGTGAATGCACCATTAGCTGATAACAATGGTAGCAATGGACGCTAACATATCAAGCTAACGATATCCTAAACAGTTTATTTAGCTGCTGGAGCAGATTAAAACGATGCCTCACACTTAGATCGTCACTGGTTTCGTCTTCACCCGTCACATTTAGTAAAGTGAAGCCAAACTTTAGAGCGCGTTCATGTTGTTCTAGTCGGAAAATCGGAGTTCCGAGGAGAAAGCGAATGCACCATTAGCGAAACGGAAGCTAACATATCAAGCTAATTATATTCACCTACCGGAGCAGATTAAGATGAGGATGTCTCACTTAGATAGTTGTCGCTGGTTTCATCATCCAGTTACCCATCACATTTAGTGAAGTGGACCCAAGCTTTAGCCTGCGTTCTCTCTACCATGCTGCTCTGTTTACAACTGATTCACAGCAAGCGACAACAAAACGCTCTTGCGCATGCGCAGCTGTCTTGGCAAGTTCTCGTTATGATGGACGGGTACCGAAACGAGGCACCGTTTGAAATGACGTGAATCGGTGCTCGGTCGGTACTATGGAATTCGGTCGGTCCCTTAAAAAGTACCGAATTCGGTACCCATCCCTACATGTCTTATTTTGAAAGTTGCCAGATGTTTTACACAGCTTCCATATTTGACTTCCTGTAAGATGAGCTCGACACTTTCTGGAAGCACAGCATGTAAAAAATAGACTCTGGTGGAAAAAACATACTCGCTGACTTTAGTGGCAGCCATTCGCTATATAAGACCCTTTACAGACAATACCCACAGCTTACCGGAACTTTTCACCATACATGCAAGTGCAAAATACTAGACACGCTTTTTCCACTAGCTCAGCAGCGTGTCTCTTTTAACCGGGAGTGTTTCAGACATGAAACGGTAGCTACTAACAAAGTAATTCCCTCTCAGACTGCTCGTTTACTGGCGGTTCCTAGAAAATCAAAAAATAGGAAAGGAGGTAGATCTTTTAGCCATCAGGCTCCTCTTCTGTGGAACCAGCTTCCTATAATCAAGGAGGGTGTGGGTGTGTGTGTGTGTGTGTATGCTTTGTCTTGTGGCTGTGCCATCCACAACTTGGATGGCTGCTCATACTGAGCCAGGATCCTCTGGAGGTTAAAAGGGAGTTTTCCTCTCCACTGTCGCTGCATGCTTGCTTAGTATGAGGATTGCTGTAAAGACACTAAGACTAGTCAGTGACTCGATGCAATCTGCTGGGTTTCTTATATGAGAAAATTTTACTGGTTGGCATAATGAATTGAAATGTATTAAAATGTTCAGTTTGTAAAGTTCCTGGACACAACTTTTGCTGTGATTTGGCACTTTATAAATGAAATGATTTTCATTCAGTTGAAAGCGTTCCACGCAGCTGGTCCTGCGAGGTCATTTTATTGCAAGAAAATTGAAAGTTCAAGCGTGATTTCGCCAGTTCATGGGAGGAACAAGGAAGGAAAAGGATAGCAGCATGTATCCAAAAAGGTCTGTGGTTGGTGTTATGAAGGTGTCACAGGTAATGATGTAGTTTTATTTAATAATTTGCATCTGTCTTTTATTTTGAAAGTTTCAGGATATTTTTACACTGCTTTTGTGTTCTTCCTGTCTGGCTTAAACTGATCTGCTGAGCTTGGCACATTCTGGAAGCATAGCTCATCAAAAGAAGACAACGCATAAACTTAGTAGAGTGACGCGACATCACGCTTTTGCTATGCCTCGCGGCCGGTGGAAACAAACCCATCTTCTATACCGAAGGCTAACTGCTGTGCACTACGCTTAAAGGATGTTACAAGACATTTTCGTGTCCAGTGGAAAGGCCAGGTTACACTTACAGGTAAGAGAAAATTCACCACTTCCTGCATTTTTGTGAGAGTATTACATTAAATGTGACTTATCAATGAAACGCTTCCAAAGTAAGCCCGAGGAGAGCTCTTTTTGTGTGACCTGAAAATAAAAAAAGTATCTGTTTTTAACTTTTTACCTGATGCACCAGAAGCTCAGCCACCTCCACGTGGTTGTTAAGGGCAGCCAGGTGAAGCGCCGTGTAACCGTCGTCCTTCTTCTCATCCACAATCCAAGGCCTCGGCAGTTTGGACAGCAGCACGCGCATGGCACTGCACGGGGAGGAGAGGAAAGGCGAAATAAAGCGAGAGCTCAGCTGGATGCAAAATAAAATACTCAGAAATGTAAAGGGAATTTCATAAGTTCAAATTAAAGCAAAAATACATCTAAAAGTAACTTCATTAGTACACCAAACAGCATCTGTACTGCTGAGACTCAACGTTTTTACAAAACAGTGTCTTTTAGCAGCAACGCTTCCATTTCCAAGAACATCACATCAACTAAGAGAGGAGTTGCTTCAGCAAGCAGAATGTTATTTAAATCAACTCCTTTGATGTTATTATAACCTATTCTCATACATAAGATACGTAACATTAATGTACTCAATCTTTAAAGTAACTGCGTTATGCCTTAGTCAGTTTTATGGAAGTGTTCCTCAGACTCCATTCAGAAACGTCTGAAAGTGACAGAACGCTGAAATAGCTAAAAAAAATGTCGCTCTTCAACATGTGGAGTCTGTGTTTGGTGCCTGAGGGTTTAACTGCATGTCTATAATGTAGCTGTCAGCTTCACCTGACGACGTCGTCTCCGTAAAGAAAAGTCACACCACAGTTTTGTCTTTTGACGTCTTAAGTTTTAGTCGTCTTTGACCAGAACATTTAGTTTAAACTGACAAACATGCAGTGGATTTAGCTATTGGACAGCAATGCTATTCATAAAAAACCTTTCAACAGTCAGATCTTCCCAAATAGTTGATAAGAAGTGATCGCTTGTGAGATTAATGGAAAGCAGTGCTTGAGTGAAAGCGTTTAGTGCACCACCTCCTCAGTTAAAAAACAGACGTCACTTCCTTCATCAATGAACAGCAAAATAGTAATTACACAAGATTTAGTCGCATTCCCTCAGGTCTCCTCCTGTGAGAGGAACGGGTAAGATGAGGAGAGGAAACATGTATTTGGTTTAAGTGGTGCTGTTGACCAGAATTGGTTTGTTAAAGAGACGGTTGTTTGTTTTTTTGGTGGTGAAGGTTGTTTGGAGGACACGGTAGATGGCTGAACTGTCACGATTTTACAAATATTTCAAAACAGACAGGAGGAACTTTGAAATGCCAACTTCGTGAGGGTAAAACTGATTGAAGATGTGATTTATTTGCACCTGGAAATAAATAGGTGAATGAGGCTTTCTCCAATTAATAAAGGTTTAATAGCCTGGAAGTTTTAGTTTAGTGTTTAAAGTCATCCATCATTTCTCTGCAGCTGACCTGACCTCCCCTTCCTGCTGATACAACCCAGTACGTTATTTACAATCACAAAATACTAAAAAATTTGCATGATTTCGCTTTCAAAGTTTGAAAAATGCATCAGAAAACCGCTACACGTAAATCTGAGCTCATACAAATACGCTAAAACATAAAGAACCCCAAACTTTTCTTGTACCCTGTCTTGAGGAACACAATGTACCTTCAATAAACACTGAAGCGGCAGTGCTTGAGGGAACACTTGTGACCTTGTTTAACCTGAATAATTATGTGGGGCATATCTTTGAACTGCGACACAAAAGGAGGCAGCAGATTTTCTCGGAGTGATGAGGCAGAACAACGCACACCGAAGTGTTTAGGTAAGATGAATCAGATCTCTGAGGGTGCAGCAGGAAAATGAGCTCCAGGACGAGGGCAGGAAAGGCCACAGCGTGCAGAAAACGCTAAGAATAATACAGAATACATGCATTAGGGCTGGTTGTAAAAAGAGGGGTGGGGGACTCTATGGGTGTAACATGTAACTAGTTTCCCTTTCCGTGAAGGAAAACAGAGCATCCTCCTCCTGAGAGAAGCAGAGAAAGAGCAGCAGGGAAACACGGGGCATGCAGTCATCTCCTCGGTTCAGATAAAGACTTGGCGGCTGGCGTACTGCTGCAGTGATGAACAGCGCAGCACACCGAACCTAGTCCTGCTCACTCTCTCACCCCCTCTTAATGCACACCGGCTTACGCACCTGCATTGCTTGCAGCCATCTTCAGCTGCTAAATGCAGGGATGCAGTCCTTTAGATTTGAAAGTGAGGGCACCCACTCTGCTAATTTGACATTCACAGAGTGTTGCCGCTGTCACAAAGAAGCATTTACTCACATACTGTTGATTTGTTTTTGGTTTTTTTACATCTCCTGGAGGACTTCTAAGTAATTTCATTTGTGGCTCATCCACCAAACAGGACCTGAGTCTTGAACAGGCAGGTTATTCAACAAACAGCCACATCAGTTTTGCCCAAAGCGAAAACATAAAGCGGATTCCCAGTGGTTAAAAATAACACTCGTTTAGACTATTTTCTCCCCAACTGGGAAAATAAAAATGAGAGAACAATCCACTTAATAATGAGAATCCTAGGGCTATTATTAGTATTGTTATGTTGATCTGCAGTTTTTAAACACATAAGAACCTCCCAGTGCAGCACGGTGGGGTCAGACCAGCACCTTAGTCACAAAACCAAGAACTCAAAAGCTAAAATTATGTTTTTGGTATAGGCAGACGTAGGACTAGAAAACAATGAGTTAATAAAACTTCAATAAAAAGTTTCTATTCTTTTTTTATATATATACCAATCAGGTAGCTGAATTCTCAAGTCAATACTCACTCCCAGCCAATCAAAAACACAGAGCCAGGCACACTCCGTCACCAAGCCCTGCCCTCTCAAACAAAGATGTCTTAGCAAGGAGCAGTGGAGGAAATTCGCCCGTAAAAAGGTTACAGATATTTTAGCTTTTACAGAAAAGACACAACGATCAATTGAAAAATTTGCAGCGCATCGACTAAAAGTTAGATCTGTTAACACTACCAACTTTTGTAATGACATAAAATGGCCAAGGCTGCACTTAAAATATATTTTCTACAATTTCTTATAATTATCAATAATTATTGATATCGCTCAAAATGAATTTTTTTTTTATCGATGTGCATATTTTCTGTATCGTCCAGCCAGAGGCAGATGCTGGATTGACAGACTCTGCCATGCAAGGTAAAATAGGCAGACATTAATATTAATACCCCACACTGGCACTGCTGCAATGCAGTTAAGTCATTTGCTGTACGAGTCGACAAAAAGCATCTGAATTTAAAAAGGAGACACACTCTACTTAAAAATTACATGAGGTGTAAATTTGTGGGTGTGATCTGACCACCTGACGAGCAGCCAGATGTTTAGATTTAAACCAATCTTAAAACGATGCCATGGTAGTGAACGAATGAGGAAATACTGTAAGAAAAGATGGTGAGATGGAACTGGGTCACCATGTGAGGGATCCCAAAGGTCCCGAAGGAGAGCTGCAACGAGCCTTGTTGGTTTGGACCGCTATTTGTCATTGAACGGGACACCGACACCCTCAGCTCTGTGCTCCCTGGCATTTGTCATGGCATGTGAGGCGGTAGAAAATGTGTGCAAGTTTAATTGTGTATGTGAATGTACGGCTTGAAAGAGCCCTTCTGCTGCTGCCCTTGCCTGCGTGACAGCCATCTGCGTTGCGGTCAGTACTTCATATAACAATGGGGGAAAGAGAAAGTCGAGGAAAAAAATAACGTGAGTAGGACAAGGCAGAACTGGAACCATCAACACCCAGCCAGAGATTAATGGCTGCGCACAAACATATGGTTACTCTGACACAGCAGATGTGTTTGGCATAACTTCGTGTTAACTAGAGCTTCCAGCCCGAGATGGGAGACTGAAATTCTGAATTCGAAACTATTCATTAAAGTGTCCCACCTGTTCTGGGGAAAATGATTAATACTAATAAAAATGAATAATAACAATGATCAATCCTGCGAATATTAAAGTGATTGCACTGGAAATCAAAGACTGTTGTAATGCTGTTAGAGACGCAGTAACCATGAGAAGTTCACATTTACATCCATCAGAACAGAAGGGGAAAAAAGTTGTTGCACCCATGGATGCTGGATAAATGGTCTGCTTTTATATAGCGCCCACTAGGGCACTACAACCCCCCAAGGCACTTTCACCCATGTGTGTACACATTCACACGCTGGTGGTGATGACGGAAAGCGAGGCTGCTGAACACTGGTGCCAACGGTCCCTCTGACCACCACCAGCAGGCAAGGAGGGTGACGCGTCTTGCCCAAGGACCCAACAACTGTGACAGACCGAGCGGGAAAAGAACCTGCAACCCTGTGGTTACAAGACGAGCACCTAATTCCTCTTCCACCAATGCCTTAATAAAGTTAGTTTCTGAAGCTGTGAAACAATTTCAGCTGAATAACGAATTCCCTCTCACAGATTTTAGCTGATTACATTATTTTAGCTGAACCTACATAAAGGCATGTTTTCTTTTCTCTGATGTGCAGCCCCTCTCTTTTGGAAGAGCCTTTCCAGATGAGCCGACCTCAGATGATACATGTGGTATCAGCTCATTGAAGGCAAGATCAATAACTTTGGGTCCCTTTGAAATAGTGGACCCTGTATTTAATAAATCACTCACCTAGGCAGGACACAAAACCCTAAATTGATCGCGTCCCACTATTTCCACTCGCAGTTTGGAGTTGCACTTTATCATGTAAGAAAGATCTGGGAGGCAAAGAGTCATGAGCAACTGGGAGTCAGTCATAAAACAGCTTTATTGACATTAAAACATGCTCCTTTGAATGTTAAGAAACCGAATATATTATAAAAATTAAATGGGCTAAGCATAAAAAAGGAGAAACTCGACTGTTAATGGCTGAGTAATTGCTAAATGAGACAGGCAATATTAAACAGGGCAAATAATTTAATTAGCCTATAAGCTACGTCACATGCAACTACAGCAGTTTATTATGGCCAACAAGCCACGCCGCAGTTGTAATTAGTAGCCAGATGACTTTGTTAGAATCATCCCACCAGTTTCGGACATCCTGCTGCGGGCAGAGTAAATAAACACAGGTAGCACCCAGGACAACAGGGCAAGGGAGAGCCGAGGACAAGAACCTGAATGGCTCCTTTTGATTAGAAAAAAAAAGGCGCTTTCATTACCATGCTGCGAGGAGAATAATTCCCTCCACAATGTGACCTTCCCCAGCC